GCACCAGCCTGGGTATGTTCTGAGGGAGAAGAGAAAGACATACCTTTTTTTCAGTATTTTTTTAATCCAAATGAATGCTACAAACCAATTTAATCTAATTGTAGCAACAGGTTTTAATGGAAATACAGAACAAAAGCTGGAACAAAGCTTTCTGAACAACTTTACTGAGTAATTTGAAATAATTCATTTTCCTTCCAGATAATTTACAAAACTGCTCTATTGACTGCACTTATTGCACAAAAGACAAATCCAAACCAAAAATCAAGCCGCAATCTTTCCTCTGAGGTTCTTAAATCTCAGTTATATTAGTAAAGTAGTTAAGAAGCAAAAATTGGGATGTTAGAATGTGAAAGTGGGTATTTCAAGGAGGAATATTATTCCCTTAAGTAATTGATATCTTTTTGGAGTTAAAAAATTAAATTTTTTATTTTTTTAAATTGCTTACAACTTGAAGATAAAAAAATACATTGATAAAAATAATGCACTCAATTCCATGGAAGACTTTCTTTTAAATTAAGTCTACCTTTGAAAATTGCAGTTTTGAATTATTACCATTAGTAGAAAGAATTTAAATATATCAAATATAAAAATTAACTTTATAATATTCTTTTAAAAAGTGCATTATAGTTAATTTATGTATATATCTGTATCTACACATACATTGCTTGTCCCCAAAATGAAAGAGAGAATAGAGTGGGAAATATCGACAAATGTGTAATGGGAGATTTTATTCATTTCTATACACACACTGCAGTTATCTAGTGGGTAACTTTGGGAAGCATAGTAAAGGAATCCTTCAACTCTTCTCTGCTTATTCTGAACATAATATATATGTAAATTTTCAGTGAGAAGAGGACCTTTGTGACTCTACAGTGGCACAACTGCTGTTTTTAAAGACTCAAGAGATTAGATACACATAGATGTGACAGCACACATACACAGAGACATAATGCTTTGGCAGGACAGAGAAATATTTTCATGACTATTTGGCAACAGTTAAAAAGCACCAAAACCTCAGTGAGCATATATGCAATTAAAAATATTCTAGATTTAAACCAAAGACATATTATAATCTGCTATTGTAATCTGAATTATCACACTTTATCATCAGTGGATTTATATGTTTATATTTTGCTTGAATATTAACATAGATAGCAAGATTGTTGATGTCTTTTACTACTATCCTGTGAAATATTCCACTCTCTTTCATGAGATCTTCAACCTTCTTATCTGTTGACATAGTAATTTTCTTTTCTCCAGTATAATCTGGATCTTCCGGATATAACTCATCTCCTGGGGGTAGAAAAAAAGATTTAGTTATAGATAGCCAACCTTATTTTTCAGCCTTTTCACTGAGTGATACTGGCAATTTTTGAGAATTTATCAGGACATGTAAATCACTGGAAATGTATTTTGCAATGCAAAAGTAAACTGCCTCTATCTTCAGATTTAAAGATAGAACCATACATTTCTGAAGTATGCCAGTGACACTGCAGTGCATGTTGAATGTTCCAGAGCTCCTGACAGTATGCTGTTAATATGCTGTAATGACAGCCTGGGCAGACAAGAGTGTATATAATAGATGGGGCACAGGACAAGCACTTCTTCACATGTATAAAGACAGGACTAAGAAATTTATTTTGTTCTATTTTGTTAAAGTAAATAATAATAATTTTGCTACATCAAGACTGATAATAAACCCCAAATACATAAATCCTAGAGGTCAATTGTGACCAAAAGAAAAAAAAAGGAAATTATAATGAAAAACAGACTAAAAAAGGAAGAAAATAATAAATAGTATACACAGTTTTTCTTAATGCTGCATGTACATGATTATGAAATGAGAGAGATTTAAGTGGGAGAAAGGGCAGGAGGAAGATGGCTGAGTGTATGGTTTTAGTCCAGTGCCTTATCACTGCAGCTGGGAGGTGTGATACTGCAGCTGTGCTTGATTCCCTTCTCCTCACAAAGTGACACCTGAAGTAAAAGAGACTTCCCACTGAAAAGGACTAAAAGGAAGGAGCTCTAAAACATCCTTCAGGTTACAAAAAGCTGAACTGCTGGAATTTCTTCACAAATACACATATGATGACAATGGTGAGACAGGAGATTATGAGTAACTAAGAAATAACTGTGCTGTCTGATGCCCTGGCTCATCTCTGCTGCAGCCATGTCACTGTAGCAAACAAGGTGGAAACAGCACGCAGTAACTGGACTTAGAAGAGTATTTTCCTTTCAGTTAAGGATGGTTTATGTCATGTGGCTTCAGCACACAGCATTCAGGAGATGCTGTGTATTTGGGAGAAGCCTCCAGCGTGTCCTTACCGGGCAGCAGCTGGATGAATCCATCTGCAGCACTCAGCATCACGGGCATCCAGCGCTCACAGCCCTCCAGAGCCCGTGCAGAGCTGAACTGCCGCAGCTCCTCGAGGGAAGAGAAGTTGCACAGCCTGCAGAATTCATAAAATTGAGGTGGAGGAAACCAGATCTCCTGAGACTTAAAGCGTTCGATGGCTTCTGGAGGTGACGACCACTGGAAGATGAAAACAAGTCTTGAAATAGTAATTTCAGGAGCAGACAGAAAGTCTGAATAAACTGAAAAGTCATTTAGCAAGAAGTCCATACAGCAAAGGAGCTTGCAATAGACCTTATCTTCTGAACACAATAAAAACCATGTATAAACTACACCAAAGTAACAACAAAGACGTTCTTAAAACTGAAAAACATAATCTATAAAAATTACTCATTTTTTCCCAGTAAAAATAAATTTTTATTTTACACACAGACATGCCAGGATTAAAAACTGACATTTGTTTTAGGGGCATGACTGAAAGTTTACTGAAACCAACAGAAAACATTAAACTCACTATTACCAGAGGTTGCCCTGATGCTTTGAGATTTAAAAGCACCTCTAAACATCTGCTTCTTAGAAGCATTGTTTTCAGAGCATGAACACCCCGCTACTCATCATAATTCTGCATATTTAAACTATTGGTAATTGTGACTTCATCTCACACGGTGAATTTAATAATATATGCATAATCGTTTGCAGTAGATTTATGCTATTATTAACAAAATTACAACATGACCTCTTGAAAGTAAGGTTTCAGGTACTTTTAGATTTCTGTAGCAGAATTTGTTAAACAAATAAATATAGCAGCATCAGTAATACCAAAACTTTAAGTAGGCTTTTACAGAACTGTCTGGTTTCTCATCTACCTCTAACTTGCCATCAAACTTTTCAGAATGCTAGAAAAACTTAAGGACCCTAATGTACCCGACCTTGAGCTCTAATCTTAGAGTTTCTTCATGAAGTTTGTTACTTTTATACATTCAATTAAAAAAAAAAAAGATAAAAAAAGTAAAAATGTCAACATTTTTACTATACTATTTTACTATTTCAACAAGTTTGCATATTACTTAAAATATTCCAAGTAGCTCCAAAAGAAAAATTACTAGCATCTCATGCAGTCCTAGAATATACCTGGTTATACCACATGGATCTCACCCAGCATACTGAGGAGGTGTGACAACCCTGCTATAGTGCAGGAATTAATGTAAAGAATTTGTCAACTGCGTTTGAAAGAGACAGCAATTCGCGGTGAAAGGGATTTGATGTGACACGGATCATATACAACGACCTCACAAACACCCTCTCTGACACTGCTGCGGCTGCACCGCTGGTGATGGTGGCAGCTCCAGGTGTCCAGGGCAGAGGGGCACAGCGCAGGTAAAAGCTCCCTTCCCTTTCCTCACGTCTCAAGGAGGACTTGGGTTGATCTGGAGAAGAGACAGCTGTGTGGAGACCTCACAGCACCTTCCACTATCTGAAAGGAATTGCAGGGAAGCTGGAAAGGGACTCTGTCAGGAACTGTAGTGACAGGACAAGGAGTACAATGGGTACAAATCGAAAGAGGGGACTTTCGGATTAGATATTAGAAGGCAATTTTTTTACTGTAAGGGTGGTGAGACCCTGCGGCAGGGTACTCAGAGAAGCTGTGGATGCCCCTGAATCCCTGGAAGTGTGTCAAGGCCAGCTTGGACACTGGGGCTTGGAGCAACCTGTTCTGGGGGAAGGCGTCCTGCCCATGGCGGGGGTGGGACTAGATGGGCTTTAAGGTCCATTCCAACCCCTACCATTCTATGATTCTACGCCTGTTCGAAGTGTGAGGGCACAGTCTCGGCGGAGCCAGGAGCCGGGCAGGAGCGGCCGCTCTCGTGGCAACACCCGCCCGGCCGGGCTGTGCTGCATCCCGGGCACCCCGGCCCCTCTTACCAGGACGGCTGTCACCTCCTGGTCGTCCTGCGAGACGTGTGGCGGCCGCTCCTGCAGACAGCACAGGTAGAAAGCCGTGTCATAGCGGCGGCCGCCGCGGCCGGCCCTGCCCACGGGCGTCAGCCAGTTGCTCCACTCGTGCAGCGCCCAGATGTTGGGCGCGCAGCCCAGGTGCCGGCACAGCCGCAGGAAGCAGGACGCGTCCTCCCGCACCCGGCGCCGCCACTCCCCGAGCTCGGCGGCGGGCGGCAGGCGCTCGGCGGGCAGCGGCGGGGCCGGCCCGCGCCCCGGCACCAGCAGCAGGATCCCCGCCTCCTCGAAGGTCTCCCTGAGAGCGCAGATGCGGAAGGCGACTTCTCCCGGCAGCTGCGAGCCTAGGCTCTCCCGGTCGGTGGCGAAGAGCGGGGCGCGGCTGCCGCCGGGCGGCGGCGGCTTCACGGCGCCCAGCCCGCAGTGCGGCGAGGCGGGCAGCAGCCCCAGCCACTCGGCGGAGAAATCCGCCGGTTCCGCCAGCCCGCCCGGGAACACGTGGGCGCCGGGCATGAAGCCGCTGCGGGAGCTCCGGCGCAGCAGCAGCAGCTCGTAGTCGAAGGGGCCGAGCGGCGAGCGCGGCGGCCGGCCCGGCGTGCCCGCCGCCAGCAGCAGCGTGGCCGCCTCCCGCCAGTGCCGCAGCCGCGGGTTCATCTTGGCGAGGCGGAGGGCGCCGGGGCAGCCGCGCTCCCGCGGCGGGCGGGACGGCACCGCCGCCTGCGCCCGCGGAGGAGCCACTGCAGCCGCGGGGCGGGCCAGCGCCGGGGGAGGCTCGCAGGAGGCGGGACAGCGCCGGGATGCCTCACCCCCCCTCAGCCCTAAGCCGGTAAGTAGCGGCTGTCCTCAGGGGGCGAAAGCTTAAGGCAATACAGAGGGGTTTAAGGCAGCGACGGCCGGGAGAAACGAGGCGATGGCTTTGAGTGGCTTGGGAAGCTGTGGCTTGGGCTGGCACGCACGTTTCCTGTATAAATACACAGAACGGAGTGTATTTACAGCATCACAAGGTGTAAATGCCCAGGAGCTTCCTGGGAGCCCAGAACCTCCCTGAGCACGGGGAAGGGTCTGTAGTTCCAGCCCCAGAACCTCCCTGAGCACGGGGAAGGGTCTGTAGTTCCAGCCCAGGGAGTCAGCACGGGGTCAGGAGCCAAGGACTCGGATTTGTGTTGGTAATGCTGCTGCTGACCTGCCAGCTGGCCTCGCAGAAATCTCCTTATCTCAATGCCACAGCAAGCCATGCTGACAGCAAAAGTCATTTTGGGTCTGTAGTTAAACATGATGTTTGGTAAGTTGTTTGAATTCGTTCTAGTACATTCCAAATGGGAGGAGTTTTAGTTTTATCATTACAGAGCTCTTATGTTTTGAGGTTTTTAAGTACCTTGTTAGCTGAAAAAAAAAATCAGCAAAGTAGCAAAACCTTGAAAAGTTCTTTGAACCCTTAGGAAACATTTTATTTTGTTAATTGATTTTGATTCCTCAATTTTCCCTAATTTGTAAGAAATTTAAGTAGAAAGAAGTTGACAACACAGGTTGAGAAGTTGCGAGAATGGTATTTACGTGTAACGTGGAAAATCCTTCTCCCATCCATAATCCTTCTCATGCCAGATTGCATTTCACAAATACCCATGTACCTGTACGTGCTTCTGATAACCTCTCCATTTGATTTTCTATTTGAACTTGTACTTGGTGCTTTATGATATGTGTGTCACTGGAACTGAAATGAAGTTTAGAAGTAACTGAAGCAGTGGGATATTGGATCATGTCAACTGACAAATCCAAAAATGACCTTGAGGTATGCCCAGACAGAGCTGGGCCATAAGCTCACCCTGGTGCCTGGCTGCAGTGGCAGAGCCGGTCAGCCAAGCCAGCTGATGCTGCTAAAATGAATGGCCAGACAACAGACAAGCCTCCCTCTCCTTCCCTTGCTTATCACTGAATATACAAGCAAAACCAATAATATCTGTTAACCTGAGCAGCACTTTTCTCACTAATTTAATCCTTTTGGCTCATCAGTAATTACCACATTAGGCAGTTGAAGCACAAGGCTCATTAATTTATTGTTTTCTACTAAGGCACTTTGAATCTAAAACCATGACATTCATCTTGATATTTGTTTGCCTTTTGCACTCTTTGTGTAGTTAACTGTTTCACTGCGTTAAGCATACATCTTGTTAGGAATGTGCTTTGCCTAAAAGCTGCTTTACTGGTGAAATATTAATAAACTACTGAGGTTTTTTAAGATTCAACATCCAATGAGCTTGGTGACTGATCAAAAAGATTTAGGGTCCATTATGTCCAGACCATTTCAGCATAAAGGCATTTTAAGTAGAAAGTGATCATCTACCAATAATGAATGGTGTCACTTTCAAATCAGATAAAATACCCACACATACAGAAAACTGTCTTACTCTGGCAAAAATGTGATATCTGATAGCCCTGGAACATAATTTCAGAACATATCTAGGAAAATTTGATAGCAGAGAATAGCAATGATTATAGTGTTATCTTAAGTTTCTAACTGGAATATTGGTTTGGGTTTTTTTATCTTGGATATCTAAAGGCTCACAAGTGCTAGTATGTAAAGCAGGGATACCCTGGCAAATGAAGCATAGGATCATAAAATGGTCTGGGTTGGAAGAGACCTTAACGATCACCTGCTTTCCCGTCTGCCATGGGCAGGGACATCTTCCACCATCCCAGCTTGCTTCAAGCCACGTCCAGCCTGGCCTTGGACACTTCCACGGATCCAGGGGCAGCCACGGCTGCTCTGGGCAACCTGTTCCAGTGCCTCATCGCCCTCACAGGGCATGATTTCTTCCCAATATTCCATCTAAACCTACTCTCAGTCAGTGTGAAGCCATTCCGCCTTGTCACGCCAGGCCCTTGTTAATTGTTTCTCTTCATCTTTCTTGCAGGCTTCCTTCAGGCACTGGAAGGGCACAGTTAGGTCACCCCAAAGCTTTCTCTTCTGCAGGAACTATCCCAATTATCTCAGCCTTTCCTCCTAGCAGAGGTGCTTTATCCCCCTGAGAACCTGGCGGCCTCCCTTGCTTTCATTGGCACCCACTGGTATTAAACCTCGTGGGTCTGGTTCCGAAGGCATTCCTGCAGGGCAGTGGAAATGGGATGTGGGCTGGCATGGTGCTGTGACCTCAGACCCCCAGAGATTGCTAGGGCTGGGGTAACAGCTCTGTTCAGGATGAGCTCAGCATCTAGAGCAGTTCTTTGGGCCCAAACACAGCCAAATGCAAGATAAGGTAAACTTTCTCCCTACTCCATTTGCTGTGTTTTTCCACACAGTTCTGCAGTATAAGTCACCTGTTAAGAAGGTGCCATTCCTTTCCTGAGGGTCAGCAGATTCACCCTATTGCTGGCAGTTTTTCTAGCTTCTTTCAGATTTGTCTTAGGAAGAGTAATTCAGTATCCATTCGCTGCAAAGCTGAAGTGACCTCGTGTGAAATTCCAGGAGCATGTGAGTCTTTACCTGACCCAGTTATCAGGACTGGAGATTGCAGGAGGTTCTGAGAATGAGCACTCAGAAACTCTGTGAGCAAAGATAAAGGATGCAAAGGGATGTTCTGCCCCCTTCCAGTTTCCTGCTAAGCTCTTAGAGTGTGTATCTGCCCCCTCAAAGCTAAAGCTGACCTGCTGGAGGTAGCTCACATGAATATAGAATAACTGTTAAAGGCAAATTAGATGTAAGGTTATCTATAGAGCATGTTTCTTCATCTCCAACTTAGATGATTTTTTCTTCAATATATTCTGCTAGAATGCAGAGCTTATCTCACTTGTACTTAAATTTCTATAGCTTTATGAGTGATTTCAGGAAAAAAGAGAAAATCTGAGAAAATCTATCACTAATCCTAAACCATGCACACCAGTTTGTTGCATTACTGTGTGGAAGGATTCCAGCATGAGGACATGATGATTCAAGGGCCAGTTGTAAGCTGGGAATACAGGGCACTTTAGTGTGAAGAGAAGTCTCCTCATAGCAAGAATTAGCTAGATACATGTGTGAGAGTAGAGAAAGAGTCAGAGGTCCCCTCCAAATTAAATGATTAAAAAAAGATAAAAAGCTGGCTTTGCTAAAAAGTAAAGAATGCAGCTGTCTTTCATGCTTCTTGTAGCATGAAAACATACAACATGTGTACTTAATGGACCCCAAATAATTTTGTATTTCAGGTTGTTTTCAAAACCAGATTGTGTTGTATTGAAAAAGAAACCCTTCTGAGTGATGCAAAAGTTACCTCAAATAAAATACCCTAAGACTGTTGCACTGATAATAATTCTTTGTGGCATCATATTTCAGCAATGCAGAGGTTACTTCAACATTTTTCTCTACAGTTCAGTTACTACTTACAAGCTTGTTTAAAAAAAAAGAAAGTCTAGGTCACTAGATATATATAAATGATTCTCAAATTAATTTTCTGGGGTTTTTCTACTACTTGGCAATCAAATTACTTCATTCCTTTTGTTACATCATTGCTACATTATTTTGCCCAGACAGGTCAGTGCAGATTTCACCACTGTAATAATTAATTTCAGATGAAGAACAAGGTCCATCAGCATTTCATCATTTAGTTTAGTTTACATGCTATCTTGTCAGTTGAAGATGATTATACAAATTCTTGGTTTAATTTAGATGCATCTTTGTCTCCATGCAGATGCAGTGTCTACAATAATGAATTGTGACTACTTCAAGTATCAAAAAATGCAGAGATTCCACTAGGTTTGTCTACTGCTTCTTCAATGGCCTCATTTTACAGTATTGTAGAATCACAGAATCATTTAAGGTTGGGGGAAAAAAACCCAAGATCGTTGAGTCCAACCACAAAGCCAGCACTACCAAGTCCCCCACTAAACCATGTCCCCAAGTGCCCCATCTACACATCTTTTAATTGCCTCCAGCTATTTCAAATACCTGCAGGTCACTTCAAAATGACATGCTAAAGCTTTTGGATTGTTTAGCTCATATAATATCAACGAATAGGCAGACTTAATAATTAATATGAAAAGTAAATAGATTATTCAACCTGTATAGGTTTTCAAGTATTGTTTCCAAATTGGGAATAAATGTCACATCTAGAAAATACAGGTTTATGATTATAACACCATTATATAGATTGACTAGAAAGAAAAATGAAAACAAAACCTACCTAACTTCATACAAAATGATATTCCAACAAATTAGGCAGATGAGAAAAGTAGGTTACAGGTAGTATTAACAACTGGAACTGTTCTACTTCCAACAGACACAAAATGGATTACACATCTTATGGAAATGGAAATTATGGTTCTAATTCAGCAGCTTTTATTTATGTGAATAGTTTTCACATGTGTAATTTCTTGCCAGACTGAGTACTGGTGGCTTGTTTCAGGAATCATTTGGAGCACACCTTCCAGAGCCCAGAATTCAAATGTGTATATCTTAAGTTACACCTGCAATTAGTATATTAGATTAAGTTGCTAAGGGAGTATCACGTTTGCTGTCTCTAGCAGTCCTCAGTCATTTTATATGGTATAAATAGTTAAGTATTTTCTTTTGTCTTTTTTTCCTTATTTCCAATATCTTATGTTGTTTTCCCCCCAACATTTATGCTATTTTTATATAGATTTTTCTGGATCGCACAAAGGAATTGCATTTAATTTCTTTTTCCCAAGACAGTTGTAGATGACTGTAGGATATGAGGTTTACTATTCTTTCAAAAGCCCCATGATTTTTGAAGTCAGATTTTTGGCTGTGTGATTTCTTAGTGCTGTGGCACATCAGTGAATTAAACTGTGTGTTACTTGAACATTTGTGTGTGAGAGACAGACCTGACTGATCAGAGACTGCAGTGATAATTTCAAGCACAGTAGAAATGATCAAAATAACAGACCACATTTATACCACAGCTGTGACTTTCATTTCTGCGCAGCTGAATTACACCTAGCTTTGAGAGGATTTGTGAGTTTGTTTGATTTGGCGGAGATTTAAGTATATGATAAATAATGTCATGCAATGCAGTGTAAATAAAACATAAAATTCAAGGAAAGAGAACAAAACAAAAACCCACCTGACCCTGTGGAGGTCTGAGAAGTCAGTTTCTATCACTCTGGTAAATCACAGTAAATATTCTCACAAACAGCTGGAACTGTGGCCTCTGTGGGTGGCAGTTTCGGAGAGGGTGTGATTGGATTTGTGTTTGCAGTCACATTGCTTCCAGCGTGGAACACTCGTGCTTGGCTGGCTGAGAGGATCCACCAGAGCCCTGGTGCTGGCTAAGTGCCCTGAGACTTTTCACCTTTGCACAGGTTCTGCCGTGGCAGCTGCTACAGCTACATCCCAGCTGCACCCAGTACCACAGCAGCGAGCTGTGAGGGTGGGTGATGGAATCCAGCCAGGTGGGACTGCCTTCTTCCAGGAGAAGGTCATTTGTAGTGTGGAACCGAGGGAGATAAGGATTGTCTTCTGTAAAATGGATAACAACATGTAGGAAATTAAAATATTTTTACTCTTACTCTGTAAGACGTAATAAGAGAATGGAGTCAGTTCCACTCAGGGATATTTTATATCCTCTGTCCCATTGGGCATAAGAGATTCCTTTTTTTATAGAGAAGCTGTAGTTTAACATTGGGATGCTGTTGTATATAACAAAAGGCAAACTTTGGTATTTACTACATACATCCATCCCCTTTCCTTTTTTTGTGGTTCCCTAAACACGTGGATAATTTTATATGAAAGACATCATTTTCTAATCCCACTTTTATTGTACACTTACTGTAGCAAATGCTGCTCACGTGTGAACTATTTTGTCCAGATCTCTTCCTGTATTAAAAGACTTATATAATCGTATTGAGAGAAAGCACTTAGAGATCTGTAATCCACTGGTCTTACTGAATGACTTCTTACATAATGAAAATCTGTGAAGGGTAAATATGTTGACTAGGAGTTCCATTAGCACTTAAATAGAAGGTATTTCTGGAAAGCAAACATAAACAACACAAACCTTCCAGAGAAGGAAAAGCAAGCCTGTAACCAATCCTCTCTACAAACAATAAGCATATGTTTAATTTTTAATCTGAAAGCTAATTACATCAGTCATTTAGTCCACTTTTAAATAATTGCATTACTGTAAAAAATACTTTCATACTTACATGAAGAATTTTGAAACTAATTTTATTTTTTATTCCTAGTGCTGAAGTTTGATGTTACAAATCGGAAGAAATACTTAAATTACGATCCTGTGTTCCTAAACTAGAAAACAGCATAATGGGTTTTTATGGTGATAGACTGGAAATCCTGGAATGAAATTACAGATTGCTGCATTTAACAGACTCAGTTCTGATGATTTGATACAACTGTTGTTCATTGCTGCTACCAATAGCACAGGACCAAGTTTCACGCTCCTTAGGTTGTGTAAATCTTTTGCTAAATAAATGCCAGCTTTGCTGGCTGAAAGAGACAGAGTTTGGATCCTAACACAAGGAGAATCCAATTGTTACTCCAGTCTAGTCTGGTTTTCAGGCTGTCCAAGCCAATGGTTCTGTACTTAACACTGGACAACCAGCGCTGAAGGCAGAATCATCTGTTAGCCTAAATGTTATTGTAGCTGTTTCCTAAGGCAAGGATTTCCTGGCTTTTCAGACTGCTGCTTCCCTGGCAGTGTAAGCTGCATCACTATTTAACTTTGGGAGCTTGGGAAGGCTGTGTTTATGTTAACAAACTAATGAGAGAGCTTAGCACATTACTTTTGTTACTGTGGTTGAAACAGGAAGTTTAGTTTAGAAGAGCTTACTACAGATAAGCTCTATTAATATTCCAGCTTTTCAGAGAGTCATAGAATGGTTTGAGTTGGAAGAGACCTTAAAGATCATCTGGTTTCAACCCCTGCCATGGGCAGGGATACCTTCCACCAGGTCAAATTGTGCCAAGCCCTGTCCAGCCTGGCCTCGAACATTTCCAGGGATGGGGCAGCCTGAGGCAACCTGTGCCAGGGCCTCACTGCCCTCCCAGGGAACAATTTCTTCCAGGATCTCATCTGAGCCAGCTCTGTCAGTGTGAAGCCGTTCCCCCTTGTGACTCCATCCCTTGTAAATAGGCTCTCTCCATCTTTCTTGCAGGCTTCCTTCAGGCACTGAAGGGCACAATTAGGTCACCCCAAAGCTTGTCTTCTGCAGGCTGAGCAATCCCAATTCTCCCAGCCTTTCCTCATAGCAGAGGTGCTTTATCCCTCTGATCAGCTTTGTGGCCTCCTCTGGACCTGTTCTGACAGATTTTATTTTAATTACTGCTGCAAGCAAACCAGTAAGTTATAAGGAAGTACTTTATTTTAAGTTAAATAAATAGTGACAGTAACAGGTTTGCATTATTCAAAGTGTAGAAAATACCACCCATGCACAGGCAAAACCAGTGTAATTCAAATCAGGAGTAAGATTTTACTATACAGCAAATTTAATATGTGTATTCTGTGAATAAAGACAAAAGAGCTGAAGTAGATCAACACTGATATTAATTAAGCAATGACCATATTCTCCTGGACTATAATTACATTCTCACCAATCAGCATGAGAGTATGTGCTTTTTTCATCATGCTGTTTCAATATAGAGGATTTTGAAGTACGAATTCCCATTTTTCACCTACAAAGCAGCATTTCCAGTCTCCTTCCAGTTGCATTCCAGTAGGAGGAAGAAATGAAGACCACAAAGCTTTATCTCTATTTCTTAATTTAAAGGAAGTCTCTTTTGGGCAATGGAGGTTTCATTTAGTTTTGGTTTTGTGCAGTGTCGTGCCAAACTCTGTCACATGGAACAAACACATGTAGGAGATGAGTGGCAGCACTTTATCCATGTAGACAGTGCCAATCCTCTGTTACAATTCTACTTAATCTATTAATTTCAGATAGGCTAAATGTAAGATGATACAGATTTTTAGGAACATACTAATGATGAATTAATTTGCAGCCAGCTTTGTCTGAAGATTTGAAAATTCTTTTTCCAAGGCCAATCCTTGAAATATTAATTGTATGCATATTCATAATAAATCAAGACTTACATACTTAAAGGCTATTTATATGAATTCTTTGAGTCCTATATTAAAAAATCCAAGTGAAAAACCAAAACTGCAATGGACTGAAAATGTAAGAGTTTACCAACCCACTGAGGCTTGCTTTCAAAAATGACCCATTCTTAAAAATTCTTCTTCACAACTAAGCATGGATAAACTGTTTATCTATGGTTAGGTATGTGGGAGATATATACTGAGATAAAAGATAAAGAATGTTGTCATTGTTACCATTTACTTAGCCACCAGAAAACAGACTTGCATTCATGACTTGGGGGTTTGAGAACATGTGGTTAAATGGTCTGATTTCATGAGGTTTATGGAGTTTTCGGAAGCACAGCATAAAGCCCAATGGCTTCTCTACCTTGCTGTGAACTAAGTGAGAGTGCAAAAAGTGAAAACATCCACAGGTCCTTAATGACAAGAGGTGGCAATCCAAATAGGTACATTCTTCTGCAGCTTTTGCTGTATTTTCCTTAAATACGTTTATTTATTGTGGTTGTGAAGGAGATATCCAATTTAAGTGAACATTCAGCAATTACACCTTGTCCAGGCAGGCTGGAACTGTAGCACCGATAAATACAGACCTGGATTTGTTAGAAAGCTGTCAGGGATCTCTACAGACATAGACTAACTACATATAAAACATATTCTATGGAATGAGTGAAACACAGCAGAAAGGAATGTGGAGTTGTCTTGGAACACTGTGAATTCCTGAGAGAATGGAGTTAGACTAGACCAATGTGCAGAGCTCACATTATCCTTCAACAGAAGGATAATCTATAGCTTTGAATTCAGGCCTCTGCTTACTATTTTTTTCCTCACCTACAACTGGCCAGATTCAAATACACTTCCCCCCGCCCCCATAAATCCAGTTGAGTTTTAAAGAACAAACTGTTTGCTGCAGTTTTTTGAAGTATGTTTAGTTCTTAACTTTAAAATATTTAAAAATATTAGGTGTTTGTGCATGTTGTCAGTTTTATTTAACAAGCATGACGACTGTTCACAAAACATGTCTGATTATTACTTTTTGGTAATGTTCCTGTAATAATCAATGAAGAAAAATGACTTCTTAAACCCCCAGTATTTTGGGGTCTTTATATTTGGCTGTGGAGTGCCCCATACACATATGGCACTGTAGCACATCTACCAAGCATTCCTGAATGGACAGTGTTCACTAGAAGGTATTTCCAGAAGTAAATAATAAATACCATAACACATAAATCCTTTTTACAAAATACTGTAAAGCTTCTCTGCTAAGTAAGTGTCTGTTTCCAGAGTTTTATATTTAAATGTTGACAATTCCATACAGAAGCACTTGAAAATTTTATGCTGTTGCACTTCCCTTCCAGAACTGTAGTGTTATCAATCCTACAGGCTTCCTGTTTCCCAGATGATTAATCAGACATGACTGAGATATGAAACTGAGACACATTTTTAGCTTTGTCTGGATTTCTGCAATTTGGGAGCTTGAAGAAATGTGGCTGTATACATACAAGCATCAGTCCCTCCCTGTCAACTGGAGAGGGGATCCCACTGGGAAAGTCTGCTTTAACTTAACATCATTTCTCTTGGCTAAAACCTATTTTCCCATGTTACTGCATCTGCTGTGGGTAGATTCATTGCTCCTGTTTTCATAGTTAATCACGGAGTACAAACTGCTGCTTCAGAAAGAAAAATTAAAATCAGTAGCAATAATCAGTCTTTCTGCAGGGAAAGATAAAATCATGGTAAATGTGAATGAAAACCATGAGGCTTACTAGTATGTTTTGGAATATGCAACTCTCCCTTTTTTCTCTCTGGATTTGGAAAGCAATTAGTCATTGACATATGCTGTGCCAATTCATGCAAATGGGTTCCCTACAATTCAGTCTAAATCAACAAACAGTACTTGGTATCAAACATTGGTCCGTTTTCTCCTCCCTCCCTAACCATTAACTTATTTAAGATGGAGGTTGGCTGCATTCTTTTATTGGGGTTTTCATCCTTACCCCTTTCCTCCGCTCAAGAAATACGTTTTGTATTTGATGGAAAAAAAGTATTCTATTCACTTGGTTAGACAAAACACCCATGTTAGACATCAAATTTATGTTACCCTCCAATCCTGTAAACAGTGACCAGCAGCAAACACCAGAACCTAATGAAGAACAAAAACCACAGGCTTCTGAGAATAGTGACCTATTAATAGCAGGCAAATCCCTGTTGCAGCCAGTAGTGATAATACCCTGATATTTCACTTAACTGTTACAAGTCCAGTAAACGAAGACATTCTATTCTGCAGGCTGATTTGCATCCCTTTTCTTCAAAAAGCATGAAGAAACAAATAGTGCATTTTAGGCTATCCAGAGGCAAAAGTTCTGCTTTGTTCTTTCAAGTGTTCGTTTAAAACTGTCAGCTCATCCAAGTAACACACTTTGGAAGTGAAGGTGAGGCATGAAACACTCCAGAGAAGGCTGGAGATGGGTCGCTCGTGTCAGAGCTTGCACCACCCTAAGACAGTTTTACCACACACACTGCCAGGACAATAGCGATAATGAGCACAGCAGTGAAAATAATCCCAGCTAGAACCTTGCTGATGTCGCAGAAGGATTTATTTTCCTCCACAGAGATCATGCCAATAGAGGAAGCGCCCACGCTGATGGTGGATTTCAGTTCAGCCCCTGGGTCTTGCTTAGCCTCTACTGTCCACTGGGGGACATTGACCTTCATCTCCATCTCGTACATCATCTCTCCTACCTGGTTGATCTCGTTCTCGAGGTCTTTCAAATCCACCACGTCTATGTTGTGCTCAGCCTCGTATTTCATGTTCTGGACGCTCATGGCGCGGGCGGCCACGCCGGAGGTTCCCCCGCTCATGCCCGTCTGGATCAGGTGTTTTTTGGGGACGTTCAGCGGAAACTCGTGGCCCAGCTCCAGGGCTCTCCTCATATCGATCTCCAGGATCTCTAGGCACGTGGAGAAAATCACCCATAGCCTTTCGAACTCGGCTTTATCTTCCTTACTCACGGTTTTGTCCTTCAGGACCGTGGTGAGCTTGTTCCTGTTGGCCACCGCCAGCTCCTGAGCTTTCTGCCGGGTTTTCTTGAGCTCCTCCCGCAGGTTCTGGGAGTCCGAGGTGCCGCCGATGGTCAGCACCATGTGCCGGTAGCAGGCGGTCACCTTGTTGAGCGCGTCCAGCAGCGCCTTGCACTCCTCCTTCACCATGGTGGCGGCGGGGGCCGTGCCCGGTGCCGCCCTGACTTACCCGGTGCCGGGCCCCGGGCGCTGCCACAGCCGGGAGCTACCAGCACACATGGCAAGCGCTGCCTCCGGGTCGGGCCTGCATCCAGCACCCCGTTACCCGCTGGTCAGGCGGCTCCGAGAGCCCGGGCGGGCGGCGGGGAGCCCGGGCGGGCAGGCAGCATCGCTCCCCGCGCCACCGCCGCCTGCAGCGCCACCGGGGCGGCTCGGTCCGCGCCGCGCTCAGCGGAGCGCTGCTGTTTGAAAAGTGCCAAACGCCGAGGATGGAGGAGGAAAAAATAAGAAATCAAAAAAGCCAAGGCTAGGGCTCTGGGGAGCGGCAGCCGGGCAGCCGGCGATCCCCGCCGCCGCCACTTAACTAGCCCCAGCTGGGCGCCCGCGCGGTCACATGGGGGCAGCGCCCGGCCCGGCCCTATAAGCCCTCGCAGGCTCCGCCTCCGCAGGCAGCGATCCCGCGGTGCTCTCAGCTCTTCGCCCGCTCCCTCCCGCCTCTGCCCAGCCATTGGCTTCGTGCGGCCGCGCCGGGCCCGCCCTGGACCCCGGTAGGGCTTGGCCGGGGTGCGGAGCGGCGGGGGAGGCGGGCGGCAGCGGCTCTGCGGCCGGGGAGCAGGGAGGCGATGGTGTCGGTGTGAGTAGCGCTCCCGCTCCGGGCAGCCTGCGGCTCCCGCTGGGACCGTCCCGCCGCGGTGGGAGCGGGGAGCGCTCCCGGCCCACCGTGCCGTGCCCCGGGAGCTGCTCGGCCGCGGCCTGGGCGGTGGCGGGGCCGTGCCCGCTCGGCCTTCGTCCGGGCCGGAGTGCGGCGGGGTCGGGCCGTGCGGACACATGGCCCTGGTCAGTGACCGCCGCGGCACGGTCGGTCCCCGCCGTGTTGATCCCCGCTGTGCATGGCAGGTCGGTCTTGCCCGGCTGTCCCGTGTGTCGCAGACACGCCGGGACCCGGCTGGGGATGGAGCTCGCTGCTTTTGCCATCCGTAGGAAGGGCCGGTGTGCCGTCCGGGCACCTGCAGTTAGCTCAGGTCAGGCCGTGGCACATCAGGGAGTGCAGGAAGCACCAGTTCGTCACTGTCAGAAGCGATGCTCCGCCGGCTGCCCGTGGCAGCGTGCTGGGTGCAGCCCGGGGAGCACTGCTGGGCGCTAGGCCGTGCTCGTTGTGCAGCCAGCGGCATGCAGCTGATGCGAGTGCTGCTCGGAGACCTGAGCTCTGCTGTCTCTAGCACCTGGTGTGTCTGCTGAAGTGGGCTTCTGGACAGCTTGCTTGTCACAGTATATGCTACCACATATGCCCCAGCATTTCTGGGGAGCTGAGTGGTTTTGTGATGCTCCAGTAGCCTAAAAAAGCTGCAAAGCCACAGAGTCCCACAAGAAGGGGAGCATGACCCAATCCCTTATCTTTTATCACTGCCTTTGCAGGGCAGTGTGTGTTATGAGCAAGATAATTTGCTAAGAGGAACAGAGTCCAGGCAGACTGGCTTTCTGCTGCTGAGCCCAGCTTGAAAAGTCTTGTCTAGCCTATGTTCCTCTTCCTGGATTTTGGTAGCTTGGACTCCACTCACTGGGGTTTTTTTGTTTGTTTTATCTTGCTTTAATTTTGGCCCTAGTTCCAAAACCTGTGTAGCTTCTGCTGCAAGTTACTTACTACCTCGGGAAGAAATGGCCTCTTACCTTTGTGTAGATTATCAAGTTACTACCAACTAAACTGAATAGCTCTGTCAATTTGCATGTTGGTAGCCTAGAAGAAGCAAATCAGTCGTGCCTGGTTTTTTTGTAGGAATACAGAAACAGGATGATTTTGATCTGATTGTAAGTGAAGTCTTGTAATTGCCTAATCATTGTCAGGTGGAAAAAGGATTAGCTCTGGGTTTGAAGCTGGAGTCCTATGTGACATTAGCGTTAAGCTTATTGGTGACTAAATTATGCATGTTTGTGTGTCTGTTTTAGCTATTTTTAAAGTCTGCCACAGAACACTGAAGTTGTGTGAGAATCTGGAAGCCACTTCTGCAAATGTGTCTGGGAAAGGGAGAGAGGGAGGGTTGGTTCAGAATCATGTGACTATTTGAATCTGAAGGTAGCAGCAGTCATAACCTGTATCAGGTAATACCTGTGTACATCTTTTGGTGTGTCATGTGGGAAGGGCCTGTTATTTAGAGTACATCTAATTTAAGTTCAGCTGCATGCAGTTACAACTTGCTTAGATTGTGGAAACTCTTAAAATTCAGTTGTTTGTCAGTCAGGCACGATGTTCTGAAAATCCAAATCTTGATACTGCTTTCAAACAAGATGCTGACTAGCAAAAATACTGTCCTGGAAAAACTAGCAGGATGGAGGTAAAAATCCTTAGAAGTGACTTAGGAAGCAGCATAATGAGTAGTAGAAAAAATGTGTTTCCTGGTTCTGTGGCAAGGCTTTCTTGCAATAGATGTTAATGATGGTATTCTTCCTGTGCTGTACTCTTAAAGCTCTTTGCAAAGTATTCTGTGATGCATCTTGAACATCATTAATTAAATGTTATAGCTTCATTTTAATACTTTTAAGTAGAATTTTAGGTAAATGCAGGTTTGTTTTGCTTTAATGGTTGGTGAGTGTTGTTTGAGGAACTTGCTTTTAGAGTAAGCTCATATGCTAAGTTTGGTCTGTAGACTGCTATGGCTTAGCAAAGCTTGAAGCCACTGTGAGATGAAGAAGGAAAGTAAGGATGAAATACAGTAAAAATAAAGTGTGACATCAACCCCTTTCCTCTCCCTGATCACTGATAAATTGTGAATTCTTTGAATTCTGTGATTTGCTTTTTGCTTGTAGTGGTGAGAGGATTTGATCCATAGGAAGAATCTTAATTTATATTATGGGGGAATGTTAGACTGATACTTCTGTATTGTGATTTTACTTTCAGGAAGCTTTTAATTAGCTTAGGCTGTTAAGTGTTGCATTGTGTAGTATTTATAACACCAGTAGTGGTTAAAGTAACTTATTTTTGCTAGTTAGAGCTGAATTGTTTCCCAGCCTTCTTACCCTTGCACTGCTGCCTAAATAAATGAAAACATTTGACTTAAGTAAACCTCTGTGTATTTCAACTCCATAAGAATTTACCCCCCACCCCCACCAAAGAAGGGGAGTGAAGTACCAAAGTACTGAAACCTCTGAGAGCCTGAGGAGGAGGTGACCTTAAATACAGCTCACTGGTATTTGAAGGAAGCATCCTGGATTGAAAAGCTGTTGTGGGAACTTTGTGTTTGCTGTTAATGTTCTCCCTCTAAATGTTCCTTGTAACTGTTGGTGGTTCACTGAACAGCACTTGCACTTTGTTCTAGGGCTTGCTTGGAGTAGCTCAGGGCTGCCCATCAGACAATGTAATGCAGCTTCAGCAGTGGCAAGCCAAAGGGTGAAACTTCTTTGCAGCCACTCTGGTGGACTTCTAAACCTGTGAGAACTGGGAACCTAGGGTCTACCCTCTTGTGAAAAGAGGATGCAGCTGCTTCCTGATGCTTGGCTAATGACAAGCAAGGTGTGTTTGAATATGTTGAAGTAACTGCGTAGAAGTGGGAAGCTCGGCTGTTGAAGAGTCCACATATACTGAAATGTGCTTCCTCTGGAGGAAAGGAACAAGTGATGGGGAGACTCAAGCCCCCAAGTCTGGGACGAGTAAGGATGTGCCCATGTCAAACAATAGTGCAAATGCACTGTTAAAATATAAAGAGTGAACCTTCTCACCACTTCTCACGACTCAGCTCCATTCTGGAGTTGGAGGTGGGGCTCGTGAGAAGCTGCACAAGGATCTGGTAGAGCCCTGTGTGCTCAGTACTGCTGCAGGCTCTGGGAGATGCCTGTCCAAGGACGTGGAGCAGTGGTAGCCAGAGCTGCCAGGCTTAGAAAAGGCTTAGGAGGTGTTGGGTAGAGGAAAAACCCAAACCATGAGATCCCATGCCAGCTGTTAACCCTTCAGTGGAAGAAATGTGTGCCTGGAAGGGAAATGCTGAGAGAAATTAGCATCTTCCTGGAATGCTCATGACCCTTCCTTTCCAGGTTCTATTCCATTGCTGTCAGGCTGATATTCTGGGATGATAAAACTTAGTTTTTCATTGGCTGCTTGTAAGCCTTGAGCTGATATGAGTTCACCACTCTATAATCTGATAATTCAAAGGTGCTACTCTTGCATGCTTCCATTTCATAGAAGCCATTACAAAAATGAATCTGAATCTAGATGGGGTAGAATTAGATTTACTTATTTATTCCTTCATGGTGACCAAGGCCTGCTGGAACGTGTCAAGTTTTTCACAGGGTGCTCAATGCTCATTCTTTAGAGTTTTTAAATGCTCAGAAAAAGAAATTCTCTTCTGTCTTTGCTTTGAGGTGAATGCTGATGTAGGGCTAAAGTTAAGATTGTAACTTTTGCCCAGAAGCAGAGTAACCAAGGAGTAATAGTGCTGTAAAACAAGAACTGGAGTGGTAACTTGAGTTTTTGACCTGAGTCTATTTAAATTCCACTGTTAGAGTCCTGTTTGCTTGTAAAGAGCTCTAAGATATGCTTACCTTTGGCTGTTCCTTCTGACAAGTGGTGCTCTTAAGGTGTGTGGTGGAAGCACTTGTGTCAAAAAAACCCCTTAACTTAGAACTGGGGAACAATTTCTTTCTTTTACTTTTTTTTTTTTTCCTTTTTTTATGGAGCTGTATATTTGCTAGAATGATACATTTCTGATAAAGATTGTATGTGTATTTATTTATCTGCTACTCTGAGATAAAAATCTTTTAGTTGAGTTATGAGTTGCTCCTCACTTACTCATTATTTTGAGCACTTCAGCAAATACCAGGTTACTGGATTACTAAGGTTTAGTTGTTCCTCTTGTAGCTATTGGGAGCTAAGGTAAAGTTGATGTTATCACATGAAACTTGACGATATTGGTAAAATAAAGTTGCCATGCTAATGGATCTGGTGTTGAAGGTTTTGGAGAACTTGGCGTTCTACTCCCTTG